AAATCTGACTTCAGATTCGTGATCAGCAACCCCAAAAACCCTCGTAAACTTAATTTGGTGCAAATCGGTTGACTAAAATTTTTGTCCGCCATCTTTGTTTGCCATCTTGAAAATTTTAAAACAGCCAAGATTATATCTGAACGTAAAATTTTCCGCTATTTCATTTTCCGGTGTCAAAAAGGGGGGTTTCCATTTAAAAAAAACCACTTCCGGTTGAAGTAACCCATTTTCGGTCAAAATCAAAAGTTGAAAGGTACGCCATTTTGGTTCCCCCACGAAACCCTACAACTTTTATATGAAACTTTTTTCGATTCCTGGCCACACAAACGAGTTATTGGAGGTGATAGATTTAGATGACTCACCCTGTATACATCCAAGTGCAGCGTGGCATTGTTTAACTTAAATTGAAATAAAATAAACTTTTCAAGTTTACAATATTTATGTGTTTTTGTAAATACTATTGATTTTAATTGTTTATTTTACGTTTGGCGACCGTACAACTTTATGAACGATGTGAAATTGCTGAAGTCACTAGAGTTAGAGGTTACATAAAATGTAAATGCCGTGGTAACTGTTACCTAGCACCGCCTAGCGGCCTGGCGTCACCATGTAGACACACCGAAATAAAGGATATAATAGGAAGTGTCAGAGGGCTGGCTGAAACCGTCGTAAGAAACTACAATGGCATGGCCGCTCTCAGGCTTCTCTCTGCTAATTATTAAGAAGTAGAAATGTATATGGTATTGTGCGAGATATATATAGCTACGTATAGCTATATATATATCCCGTTAGTTTGCTATTTCCGACGGTACACGGGTAGGTGGCGCTGAAACTAGTCCCCTCTTTTTAGCAAGAGTGAGTTACGACCCCCTGGTCGTAATTTGCTTCCGAAACTTTTTTTCCGTAAAGAGCCGTCTACAATGGAGAGTTGTTTGTCAATTTTTTACTGTTACAGTCTAAAACTCTCCATTGTAGACGACCCTTAATGATACATTTTAATCCTTAAGAGCCGTCTACAATGGAGAGTTGTAGGCCGTAATAGTAAGAAATTGACCAATCACAGACGAAGTACAGAAGAATAATCGATTGTGATTTGTCAATTTTTTACTGTTACGGCCTACAACTCTCCATTGTAAACGGCTCTTTATATAGCACAAAGATATTGTTTTTATTAAGGGTCGCCTACAATGGAGAGTTTTAGACTGTAACAGTAAGAAACTGACAAATCACAATCGATTATTCTTCTGTACTTTGTCTGTGATTGGTCAATTTCTTGCTATTACGGCCTACAACTCTCCATTGTAGACGGCTCTTTAGACTATGTAAATGATTTTCCTCTTCCGACGTATCAAACATATGATTGCGAAGTTCTAAAAACAAATTTTTTGCGACTAGATTGGCGAATACCGCATTCACGATAATGTGATTTAATCCTGGCGTATCGATAGGCAACTCATAAGTAGCTATTTTGTCGATCATAATTTTCTGAGAGCGCGTAAAGTCTAATTTTCGTCGCAAGCATCGTGGACTGCTTATATAACAGTGATCATGGCGTGCATTTCGTGTTGTAGTGGTTGGCGTAGATGATCCTTGCAATAATTCTTCCTGATAAGGTGAAGAAATATCTCGTGTATTGCAAGACTGCAACTGAAATAGTTTTTCCACATTAGCTATTTTTTCCTCTAATGTCTGGACTTTTTTTTCCAGTGTCAAGCATCCGGTGCACGCATTCTGCAAACAAAAATAAATTGTGACTCCAATAGTTACAAGCAATAATTAAGACACGAAAAAAATTTGACAATAATCAATTATTTTAGATAAATTGAACGTTTCGAAAAACCATTCTGAAATTTAAATACACCATTTGTAATTTTAGAGACATTCTGCAAAAGATAGTGTCACATCTTATAATATTAAGACTATCCACTAATAAAAATTATGAATTATATACACAAGTTAGTTTTTGTAACAGACACATCAAAAAAATTATTCAATGTGCATTTTTTCATTTTGTATTTCACTTACCTTTTTGTTTT